GTCCTCTACAAGTTATGCTGCTCCTCCTTCCCGCCCTGCCTGCTGCTGCCCGGGGTCTGAGCACCATCGCTTACAGGACCTGCTGAGTTACCCTTTGTTTCTCCAGGCAGCAGTAAGCTGCCGGGCTTCTTCTGTACGAGGATGGCAAAGTCGACACCACACTTCTTCAGAGCTCCATTTTTTTGCAGCAAAACCTCCCCGGTGCCACGCTTGCCATGGTGTAATGAGCTATTTTTTGTCAGCTCAGCTGCAGTAATGGTTCCCGTGCCTATTCTTAGGCCATTCTCCTCCCAGGTGAAATGCATTGGGCTGAATGACTTCGGTTAGATCCCTCGAGGGAGGCTTGCTAGGGGCGTTGCGCTCTGTAGTGGGGATGTGCTGGGCTGCACAGGCATGGTCGGGGGCTGGTGGGTGGCAGCTGGGGGCACGCGGGGGGCTGCAGGGCTTCTCCCCGCCCCTCGGAGGCATTGAACTCCCAAACACGCTTGTTTTTGTCTTTGCTTCCATCTCTTATCAAGGACTTTTTAGCGTGTTTGTAGTGGCTCTTTATAACATGTTTCTAACACAAGTTTCTCATATTTTTATTGCAGATTTGTTGGAAGAATTATCATTTACAGAAGCAACCAAGAGCCAGTAGCCAGGTTGGTCTCGCAGCTGTCTCGCTGGCCCTCCTCAGAGAGGTTGGGCATCTACATCAGTTTTCAAGGATCTGACCTTGTTCTGCCGTCATTAGGGAATGGTTGGTTTTCTTTAACCATTCCAAATATTTCATTCTTAAGTGAGGCCTGTAATTAACCTCTTCACTCGCTCCATTTCTGCCGCCCTGTGATTTGTGTTTGACCCGTTCTTGGGGAAGCAACACAGGACCAACTGGTAATGTCCTCCCTGCTGATGGAGAGTAAATTTACCAGGCAATTGCAAACTATCGTTATTTGAAGGAAAGCAGAAACTTAAACATCAGAGTGTTTCAGGGGAAAAAAACAGTAAATAATGTTCATAAGTCATCAAAACCAGATGGCTGTCACCGGAGCGGCGCCAGCTGTATTTTGTGCTGTGGTGGATCTACCTGGACCCTGGGAGCAATGGGGGGTCCTGGGTGGGGTTTTTGAAGAGAAATAAAAACAGGAAAGGGGGCAAAATAAACCCTGGGTTTTAATGGTGCCGATGATCAACTGTTCTGCAATAGACAGATTTTTGATGCTTTTAAAATCAGGTTTTTATATAAGTACTAGAATGTTAGATCTGAATATTTTGCACATATTCCTCAAAAGCCTTGCTGATAATTCCCCATTAAATTTGGGACTTTGAGCACCAAAAATAATCTGCGTAAGATGAAGTGGAAATATAAGTATGTAAAGAGAAAAATAAACTCAAACAATGCCCAATTTAACATACAAATCAAGTAATCTGATCTAAAGAACATCTGTTTAGCTTTATAATCTATCTCTGGGTCTAAATTATAAAGCAGTTTGAATGTTCTTTGAGTGATGTAATGTTACAACTTCTTTTATGTTCAGGTCTTTGGGTCCTGAAAACCTGTTGCTGAAAGGTGCTACACTCAAAAATACCAAGAAGATTTATGGTGAACAGTTTTTATCATTATTATTTATTTATTTATTTAATTCTGATAAATAATGACAAGGGTAGATGTTCCTCACTAGATCTGAAGAGGGATAATACTTCCCTACAGCCTGTCTGCCTGGGCTCTACAGTTACTCTCGGTATGTAAACTGATTGCCAAGTTGACAGGGTGAAATTAGGAGGTACTGGTTATATCTGCAGTGCTGCCAAGCTGTGCAGGTTGTGTTAATGCACTTCAGCAGGCTTTTCTTTTTGCCTGAGATACGTAGAGCAGGGAGTTGTTTCCAAATCGTTTGCTGAAAATGTGTGCTAGGATCACAGTCCCAGCCACTGGTGATTGAGACTGACGGCTGTTACGGAAGACTGATGTTTCTTCTGACTGTATATGATCCATAGGCTCCTGCTTGGTGCTCTGGGATATAGGCAGTTGCATTACTTAGCAGCCTCGGAGGCTTCTGTAGTTGAACAGTCCTTGGGTAATGCCTCTTTCTTCAGCTGGGATTCGAGTTCAGTGTAAACACCGATGCCCCTGATGCCAAGTACAAGCTGAGTCCCTCCTGGGCTGCGAGTCCCTTATGAGCCCTGCTTTAATACCCTGTAGGAGTTGCAGTCTATACTGGAATGGAAACGAAAATGGCTTTGAACTACCAAGGGAAATCTCAGAAACGGTCTGCTGTAGAAAAGTGAGTATTTATAGTCAGCAAAAAATCGCTAAAAGCTGTTGGGGTTTCTTTTTTTCATGGATGACTTGTACCGAAATAATCCTATAATCTTCTGCCTTTTGTTTCAGGTGTTCTCTGATTGCATATAAAATATCTTGCAAGAAGCTGCATTGTTTAGTATCTTTTTTTATTTAAAAATAAAATTAAGAAATGTTAAAATATATGAACTGAACCTGATTATCAGCACTGTCAAAAGCAGTCCTTCTGTAATTCCCTTCTTAAGAGTAAGGAACTCTTGTTCCTGCTTATTTGCTTATTTTTCTATATAAAAATAGCTGCAAGATTTTAAAGAAGAAACCTATTTTTCAGATCTATCAACGCTTTCTTGATAGTATATTTATGCATCCTATTGAGCAAGGCTACTGTGTGCACGACTCTGAAATATGTCTGGCAGAGCAATCCATTTAACGATGAGCCTTGGTACAACGAAAAGACTAAAAAAGAGAGAGAGACGTTCAAGGTAAGTGGATTTGTGTTTCGGAACCTCCTCCAGCTTTATTTATTCTGACAGTTTTATTTAATCTGATAATGTCTGCTGCCAGCCCTGCGACTCCTCTCCGCTCACTGGAAGTGCTGTGGTTTCTTTCGGGCTCTCCTGCTGGTTGCGTTTCTTTCCTGCCTCTCTCGTGCTTGTGCATGGTGATGCTTTTGTGGAGCTGGGCAAAGCGTAAATAAATATTCTATATTGGAGAAACTCAGCAGCCGATTTAACCTGGATCCTTATCTGAACTTGAGCTGTCTTTCCGCTTTAAGTAGATAAACATAAATTGAGACCACGTCAACTGGCTGCTTAAACTTGCCGAGACGCAGGCAGTCAAGCCTGAAAGTGTGAGTGTGTAGAAATCATTTTTTGATGGATTATTGAGTAGGACTTACAGTGGTGTCCCTGCACCAGTGGTACCCTCACCGTAGCTCAGCTAGTCTCAAGCCGCTTGCTTCTCATTTCCAGTTACTGAAGACCAGAATGAGCCTGTAGCACTATTTTCTTAAAAGGAATATACTTGAATAAAACATCATTTTGGTGACTATGAAGCAGTGAGTTACATTCTTGTATTATACCCTCGCAGATGTGCAGGAGACAATGAGATTTTCTGCATCAAAGGAAAGCAGAATTTGGCCCTGTATCTTAGCTCAGTTCATTTTCAGGTTGTTTTTGGGTTTTTTTCTGTTTAACCTTAGAAGAAGAAGCTGCCTGAAACCCCAGAGGAGTTGCTGTAGACAGCCCCTGAGTTACACCTGACAGGCACAGACTGCATCTCCTTCTCCTCTTTCCACTGCAGGTCTTGCGGATGTTCACGGACTTCTTGTCGTTTATGGTCCTCTTCAATTTTATTATCCCAGTCTCCATGTACGTTACAGTAGAGATGCAGAAGTTCTTGGGTTCCTTTTTCATCTCTTGGGACAAAGAGATGTACGATGAAGAAATAAAAGAGGGGGCGTTGGTGAACACCTCGGACCTGAACGAGGAGCTCGGGCAGGTCAGAACGTGCTCTGCTTCCATCTGCTTGGATGAAAATGTGGATGAAAACGTCCTCCCTGATAGGAACCCTTGTTATGGCAGTCCCTCGCGGTCCCCTCAGGGCAGAGCTTTGGCTGGCTTGGTGGCACTTTCCATTTAATGTGATTCTACTCACTCTGCAAAATGGATAAGGTTATAAATAGTGCATGAAAGAGCAGGAATTGGGTCATGCCAATTGTTTCCATGTTGGGGAATATCAGGCGCAGCGCTTTGCGTGTCAGGGTGGTTTGCTTTCACTGCTTCAATTAAAAATTAAAAATCCTCTGTCTCTTTGAGGATTAGCGAAAATGTCTGCCCAGTCATCTCTCTGGGCATGCGGTGCACACGCGGCCACGCTGCTGCTGGCTTTGCTGGGGCAATTAAACAGCTCAGGCTTCCCTTTCCTGTGAGTGCTAGGAGAGACTGAGAGGAGGGTATGGGTAGTGCCTTCTGCTTTTTATTTTGCTTTAAAAAAAGTAAAAAAAATATTTGGGAGTAGTAATTACCTAATTTAAATACAGCACCAGGATGAAAATCCCCCAAAGGAGGCAGCAGACCTGCAGCAGCAGCTATATAAGCACTAGGAGCCGTAGCAAAGGACCCAGTAAAGAGGATGAGAGGAAAACAAAGAGCCTGGAAACAAACTTTAAGTCTTCAGGAGCTGCCACCTGCCACCACAGGCTGGGAAAAAAAAAAAAAGATAACTACTCTGAGGAGCAAAGTAGTAGAACTGCACGGTGGTGTAACTCCTGTGGGGCACCTGCATCTTTGTGGGGCCAGGTTAGGATAGCAGCAAAGTGCTTTCCGGCATTAGTGCAGATGCGCTAAAATGCCCCAGCCTCTTTGGTTCTGGGGGGCTCCTTCCCCGGCACGTGGGGCTGGGGCTCCAGCGAGGCCACCTGCCTGCGTTCTTCTAGGTGGAGTACGTCTTCACGGACAAAACTGGGACCCTGACGGAGAACAGCATGGAGTTCATAGAGTGCTGCATAGATGGGCACAAGTACAAAGACTGCATTTCGGAGGTGGATGGCTTCTCTCAGACCGATGGACCCCTAAAATATTACGGCAAAGCAGAAAAGGTAAGAAACCTGCATGTCGATGACTGTTAGGGTTTTGTGGTCAGCTTCTGGCTGGGTAAATGCAGCAGAAGCTGGGAGGGAGTGTTGGTTTTTTGTTCTAAAATATCCATACACAAAAATCACACCAAAGTGCTGCGAGGTGGGCTCGGTGCATGACATTAAGGTGGTAACAAACCCTCCTTCCCTCCTGCCCAGAGCCGCGAGGAGCTGTTCCTGCGAGCCCTCTGCCTGTGCCACACCGTTCAGATCAAGGAGGCAGACCAGGTGGATGGGCTGATAGGACATCCAGAACGCAAATACACCTACATCTCCTCTTCCCCAGACGAGATTGCTTTGGTGAAAGGCGCAGAAAAGTAAGAATACGATGATGTTGGGTTTTTAATTCCCTCTCGCTGGTGGGAGGGAGGTGAGGGTTATCTGAAGGCGATAGACCGCTTTCCCTGGTCACGACTGAATCTCTCTCTGGGGCAGCGTGTTGTGATACCAACGCTGGGCCTGACCTGCAGCCCTGTGAAGCCACGTGAGTCTGTGGGATTAAATGAGCTCTCTGTAGAAGGGGATGCTCTGCAAAGGGTCTTCCCCGAGCAGCTTCTTGGGAGGCAGTAGTTTGTGTTTGCTGCTGAAAGCAGCCCCAAGGTGCCGCAGGGCCCGGCTGGGGCAGAGGCTCCTTTGCTGGAACCCCCATGGCCATGTATTTCAGTCCCCAAGAAATGGAGACCAGTTACCATGTGCGTGTTGCAGCCAAATTGCTTCCTTGGCGTGCAGTGGCAAAATTAATAGGATGAGTTACTTTAATCAAACGTGCATTTGAATCCTGGTGAAGATGCTCAAGGCCAGATTGGATGGGGCTTTGAGCAGCCTGGTCTAGTGGAAGGTGTCCCTGCCCATGGCAGAGGGATTGGAACTGGATGATCTTTAAGATCCCCTCCAACACAAACCATTCTACGATTCCGTGCTATTGCCAGCCCCCAGGTTTCAGACAGAGGCTGTTGCAGCTGTGTATACTTGTTCATGGCTCAGAAATCTGCCGGAGACCCAGGAGACTGTGTCCGGAGGCTCGTGGTGTCTGTGCACTGCGGTGCCCAGCTCTCCAGGTCCGGGGAGTGGTGCCAGAACATCATAGCAGGCTCTGCAGGGAGCAAGCAAACATCCAGCCAAGAGTTTTAGCTCAGGCTCACTAACTTCTTTTCTCTCCTCTGCAGTGCAGAAGGTGAAACGAGAACGTTGTTAATGAATAATATGTGCCAATGGGTGTTTTCAATGTTGTTCTGTCCTTTTGTTTATTGACAGGTATGGTTTCACTTTTCTAGGACTTGAAAACGATTTCATGAAAATACGAAACCAAAAGAATGAAACTGAAATGTAAGTGCAGGGGCCGCCAAGGAATGGGGCTGCTAGTGCTGCACCGGCCCCCGCCTGGCTGGATTGAGTTTGGTCAGCGTGGCCAACCTGGCAAGGTCAAAGCTGTTCCATGAGGGCTGTCAGACCGTGCTGACCTGCCCAAAAACTCCTCTCACTTTTACAAAGCGCGACACAGCAAGGTGCAGGCTGAAAGGCTTACTTCCAAAAATCTGCTGGCGATTTTAGTGCCATCTGAAGTGCCTGCAGTCCCTTGCACCTATCCTTCATCCGTGCCTGGCTGCGCAGATGGCTCCCGGGATTCACGGGGTGGTTGCTGACCTTACGGACAGTGGCTTGGCCTTGTGACAGGGTACTCTAAGCCTACACTGCGTGATATGGCTCCCTTCCCTGTAACTTTTTTCCCCTTCTGAGCTGAAAATGATTAGACTTCACTCTGTGCTTGTAGCTCGTGGGACATCTGAGAATCACTGACCTAATCCCAGTGCTCCCCGAGAACTCGCCTTCACAAGCAAGTTTCACTTCTGATTCCCCTTATGGTGAAGCTTCTGGTTTAGATGCCGGAACCGACGCCGCTGCCTGCGGTGCGTGGTGCCCTGCTGAGCTGCTGCCTGGGCTCTGAGCACTGCTGGGCACCCACACCCTCAGCCCCGTGCTCAAAGCAGCACTGGAGGGCTTTTTTCACTCTGCTTTCTTGTGTAGTAGCTGTAAAAAGTACAGTGCCTGGCGGGTGCTGCCACTGGTAGGGTGTATTGATTTCTGCAGCTCGTTGTTAGTGATTTTCTGTCTTAAATAGTTATTTTTCTTTTACTGAGTCTAAGTTTCTTTTTTTTAAGGTACCAGCTTCTGCATGTGTTGAACTTTGATCCCGTCCGTCGCCGTATGAGTGTCATTGTGAGAACCACCGCGGGTACAGTTAAACGCATTTTTGGACTCCCATACAATGTGGACAAATAGGAAACGGGTCCTGTTTATTCCTGTGCTGAGCGTGCATAATGCCACACGCTGTAACCCAGCGAGGCCGAGCTGTTAGGTCTTCTAAGCTGGTCTAATTAAGTTCTGTACTGGGTCTGGTTGGGATAGAGTTAATTTTCTGCATAGCAGTGGTTGGGGGCCAGCAGCAGATAAGGGGAGAGGACAGGGACAGTGACCTGTGGGTTGCTTGCTTTGCTCCAGCCTGGGGGTGCAACTACAGGGGGGAGATCCGAGACCTTCCCCTGAGCAGGATGGGTTTTCCTGGGGGTAGCAGGCAAAAATTCAGAGGTCACCATCCTTCAATAATTTTAGTCCTGTAAGGCATGGGATGCTTGTTTTACCCTCCCTGAAAAGGTTGCCAAGGCTTCTAAATAGGGAAAAATAAACTGCTTTGTCCAGGCTGTGGCAGAAAGCTTGCTCAGAGGCGGGGAGGGACACCTAATGTCCCAGCCCGAGGTCAAACAAGCTTTTGCACAGGTTAGTGCGAGGCTGCTCTTGGTAAGCAACAGGGCTTCTAGCAGCTCCTTCTTTAGTCCTGCCACATTTCCTCCCTCTGCATCATTTGCTGGCTGTTGAAGCTGTTCAGGCTTTCTGCAGCTTGCGAGTGCTATAAACCATTTATACTTTGGTTTCAGGACAGTTGCTTCTCTTCTGTAAAGGAGCAGACTCCTCTATTTTCCCAAGGGTGCAGCAAGAAGAAATCCAACAAACAAAAGTCCACGTGGACCGCAACGCTATGGTGAGCACGCGGATGGAATTTGGCTGGCTCCTGGGGTCGGGAAAGCCTTATTCCAAAAACAGGGATGTGACCTTGCGTTGGAGGAAAGTGTTGAAAAATCTGAATGTCGCTTCACATTGTTTTGAAGACAGGCTGCTTTCCTTTTCTGTTTCTTTGGCTTCCAACGTTTATTTGACGTTTGATTTATTTATATGATCTCCATCACAGTTGTGTCCAAACGTCTCTCAAGCAAGTTAAAAATAGAAATAACAATAGCAGGCTGTTTTCTCTGGTGGGAGAAGCGCCTGGTCCCAGTTGTGGGGACACCCGGTCCCCGCTCTACCTGCTGGATGCACACTCGGCTCTGGTCCTTCTCCTGGTTTCTCTCTGCCGTATCACATGCACAAAATAAGCATAACCATGGTTACTCTGATGGGAAGAACTTACTGTATAAACACAGAGAAATTGGTCTTTTGACTCAAACCAACAAATTATCATTGCTCTCAGGGTCAGTACTGACAGCAAGCACTGATGGTGGAGAAAAACACTAATGCTAAAGCTGAGCTGTAGAAAATCTGTTTTTAGGTCCCATGTCCACTTTCTTTTCTTTCCCTTCCCCTGCCAGGATGGTTACCGAACGCTCTGCGTGGCATTCAAAGAACTCACTCAAATAGAGTACGATAAAATTGACAGGCTACTTAATGAAGCTAAGATGGCTCTGCAGGACAGGGAGGAAAAGATGGCAAAGGTTTTTGAAGACACAGAGGCAGACATGCACTTGATTGGGGCTACGGCCGTAGAAGACAGGTAAAGAGGCGACCACCAACACTGCGGTACCTGCGGTTTCTGCTTGATGTTGCGTCGTGGCCCTGACTCGCTGTGGTGGAACCGAGCAGCCAGGCAGATGCTGGAAGTGTCCAGGGCAATTAATTCCTCTGTGGCATAACCCATTACACAGTGCCCTAGTTGCTAAAATTGGCCAGTGTAGTAGGAATTAGAATTTATTAATGAAACTACCAAAGTATTCACACTTCTAGACAGTGAATTAAGCATGCAGCATTAATTTGCGCAGCAAAACAAATTCAGTTTTGCATGCAGTTATAGTAACTGCATGTATAGATTAAACCCTTACCCTGGACTCTTAGATATCGTAGTACAAAGCAATGATGTTTTGTTTTGGCTGCAAGTAAAGATTTGGGATTGCTGTCTTCTAATCCTTGTTCCTGTGGTGGTGGTCTGTCCAGCACAGGGAAAACCAGTTAACTTTCCTTGAGCTGGTATTTCCTACTGCAAAATAAGGGTTATATGGATTAAACGTGGACCAACCTGAGGAATGATGTTTTGCTTCTGCTTGCAGGCTGCAGGAGCAGTCGGCAGAGACGATCGAAGCTCTGCACACGGCTGGCATGAAGGTCTGGGTGCTGACAGGAGACAAGATGGAAACTGCCAAATCCACCTGCTACGCCTGCAGGCTCTTCCAGACCAGCACCGAGCTGCTGGAGCTGACGGCGAGAACGGTTGGCGAGAGCGAAAGGAAGGAGGATCGGCTCCATGAGCTGCTGATGGAGTACCATAAAAAGCTGATTCAGGACATTCCCAAAACCCGGGGGGGCCTGAAGAGGTAAGTGAGCAAGAGGACCCAGCCTGTGTGTGTCTGGGCTGCAGACACAAACTTCGGGGGGAAATAAGACTATGTTGTGGCCCTGGGGAGTGGCTACTTGCAGACACTGCGTTTGGCTCCTTCGCTCTGCTCATTGTCTCTAGTTATTAGCTGGTTTTGAGCTTAATTATGCAGTTCCCTTAGTGAAGGGCGCATGTTAAATCCAAGCTTTTTAAGATTGCTAAGCCACCAAAAAGGGAGGAGAAGAAAATGAATACAAAAGCAATTTCTTTTCTACTAAGAGGATGCAAGCAGCTAGACTGACTTAAAATACTGTTTTTTTCCAACCTGTGCCTCTTTGTGTTGCAGAAGCTGGACGCTGAGTCAAGAATACGGCCTCATTATAGATGGCGCGACGCTGTCGCTGATACTCAACCCTTCTCAGGACTCTAGTTCTAGTAATTACAAAAACATATTTCTACAAATCTGCTTGAAGTGTACTGCAGTCCTCTGCTGCCGGATGGCTCCTTTGCAGAAAGCACAGGTATGTACTCAACTTTTAACTGACAGAAGCGTGTCATTAGGTGATGTGATGCACTTTTAGTCCATCGACAGCGACTTGACCTGATCGTTTAACCAGGTGGGGCTTCTCCAGGCCATGTGTAAGCCTCACTGGAGCTTCAGAGGCTAATGGAAACACACCAGTCTTTCAAATCTGAATGTAAAAACTTTAATACACTCGCAGGAAGCCAGAAGCCCAAGCCAAATAGAAATAAACAAAAAACCCCGTTTGTTCTTTTGTCCTTTCCAAGTTTGTCAAGTGGAGTCTGTGACTTCCTTCACGCCAGCTGATGGTATTTAAGCGTGAGGAGTGGTGTGTTCCTGCCCTGTGGGAGGGTTTCTGGGGGGGTTTCCTGCCCCCCCAAAACGCCTGAGAGGTCCCATCTTTGGGAGAGCGGGGTCTGGCAGAAGGGAAGGGTGGGATGCTGCTGCCTGGGATTTGTTTTTTAAATACTGTCCTTCAGTCCTGTGCAGCTGGATCTTGGCTTTCACTCTGGTTGGTGACTGCAAAGAAGGTAATGAAGGGTTTTATTAATCTGAACTTTCCAGGTGTTATTTTGCTGCTGTAGAAGCCTGGTTGCTTGTCCTGGGGGGCTCTTGCAAGTGGGGAGTCTTTGGAGGCTTTCAAACTGAATTTCTCTGAATTTTTCAGACTCATTTCTGCTGCTATCCTTTTTGTAAATCTTTTAGATTGTGCGAATGGTGAAGAACACAAAAGGGAGCCCGATAACACTCTCCGTGGGGGATGGTGCGAATGATGTTAGTATGATTTTGGAAGCACATGTTGGAATAGGTGAGACTCCTGGTGACACCCGTCCGACCCCTAAGACCTGTCTGCTGTTGCTGGGGGTCGCTGTTCTGGCGCAGTCAGTATTTCTGATTGCACACGGCTGAACTGATCCCACTGAAAAACGCAGGAAGCTTGCTGTTGCTTTCTTTGGAGCCAGGGTTTGACTTCAGATAAGTGCTTGGGATGATCACATACTGCTCACCTTTGATAGTGCCACTCTCTTTATCCGTGATAAACTGAAGATGGTGTTCAAAAACGCTATGGCCAAATTCAAGGTGGCACAGGTTGCTTGCTGGTCAGAAAAAAGAGGCACAAGTAGCAAACTGATGGGTGATTACTGGCAGTTGTTGCAAAGGCAGTGCAGTGAAAATATCAGACTTTGTTAGGGCGAACTGGTCGCAGCTGCTAGTAACTCAACCCTGGGGACCCGCACAGGCTTCCCGAGGTGATGCTCGGTTATGTTGTGTCTGCCCTGCCCTGAGGACTGACATCAGGCTGGAAACAATCCGCAGAATGGAGGATAGGTGTCAGAGATACGGGAAATACTGGGGATTTATCTAATACTGCTGAAGAAGGGCCGATGGAAGAGAAAGGGCAGCCTCTTTATTTGGGGCTGTTGGAAATGCCACGGTGCCCTCTAATGAATGGGGTCCCAGTGCAGTTTGTTTGGATGTGGCTTTTGAGTGAACAAAACTGTCTTTCTTGAGCTCAGCTCTGCGGGGATGTCTTGGGCGGCTGAGTGTCTGCGATGAAATAACTAGGCTGTGTTAGATGCGGGCAGACCCCGGGGGAAACCAATTCCTTATCTTCTGTCAGGTTTGCTTAGATACTCTTCACCACGCTCTCTGACATAGGAACTCAGACAGCAACCTAAATATAGCTGAAAAACTCCAGAGGCAGGTCTGAGTGTTGTGGAGCCAAAACCACGCCGAGTCTTGCAGCACGCTAGTGAGTTGCTCTCCTGGGGCACTCGACCGGGAAATATCGCCCTTGTCGTGCCTGCAGACACCGAGTGATGTGAGCAAACCTAACGGGTGGCGTCGGTCCAAATTCCAGTCCCCTGGGGATTAACCCCTTTCCACACTTCTTTCTGCAGGTATAAAAGGCAAAGAAGGACGGCAGGCTTCCAGAAACAGTGACTATGCTGTGCCAAAGTTTAAACATTTAAGAAAATTGCTACTAGCACACGGGCATTTATATTACGTGAGAATAGCACACCTTGTACAGTATTTCTTCTATAAGGTAAGGATGTGTGTGCAGCTTATTTCTTTGTTTATACTGTGGGGTTCCTTGACCGTGGAAAAAGTAGTAAACAGGCAAAAAAAGGATAGGATATTCTGCAGCTCTGTTTTCCTTCCGTAGAGGAGGCTCTCTCTGCTGTGGGCCTGTCAGTTGAAAACTGTGCTGACAGGGGAATGTGAGCATGGGTTTCTCCCAGTGTCTTCTGCAGACACTAAGAGCTCGTTGGGTTAGTTTTGTGCTTGGTGGAAAACAATGCCCTAACTTGTCTGATATTGTAATATCAGACACTAATATCTGATAACAGGAAAAATTATTTAGATTGAGAAATCAAGCGCTTCCCTGCTAACCATTTCTTATTTCATTTCCCTAGAACCTTTGCTTCATTTTACCGCAGTTTTTATACCAGTTCTTCTGTGGATTCTCACAGCAGGTAACTTCCAGTAATGTGTCTGTAAAGCCAGAATAAAAAGCAAGAGGCCCCACGAGGCTTCCTAGCAGAGACTTGGCTTTTTGTGTCCTGTCCCTTCCTCACCTCGCTGTAGAGGGCAGTAGGAACCGCCCTTATTGCTCAGCACCATATCTGGAGCATAATATTTCTGAGACCTATAACTGAAAAGAAAGCTATCTCCTTGCTTTCTTTTCCCATGAACGTAGATGGATACCTTCCTAAAATAACGAGAGAGGGCTTTAGCTGGTTTGTCACACCTGATTTTGCTACTTCACTTAAAAGTTTTCAAAGACTTCCTGATCTTTTCTCCTCTGCTGTGTTTCCCTGCATTAAAGCTGTCTCTCAAAAGGAAGAACAGTTTGTTCTTTTATGACAGCCTTTAAAAAAAGACACATGGTGAGTGTCATCGGAGACTTGCTTAGTCCAAGGGATCATTGGAGGGACAGATACATGCAGTGGGTGGGCTCACGTGCTTGGAGACGAGCTTTAGCTTTTGTGTCAACTGATGGGCTTTTGTGTCTGCTTGAGTTCAGAAGTAACAGTAAGGTGTAGAGTAAATGATAGGAGATAATTCTCTGCTTGTCTTGGCAGAACCACTTGCCTTTTTTTTTTTTTTTTAAAAAAAAAAAAAAGAGGACATAGCTCCTCTAACACAGTCTAGTCTTTAGAGAGTCACAGGAGACAAAGTATGTTAATAGAAACAGCAACACAAGAGCAGCTACAGAAAAGCTGTGATGAGGGCTGTTAAACCACATTTTGCTGGAGGTGAGAGCAGTTACAGAACTTCCCGGCAGTGGGAGCGGGGTCCCAGCCACGCAGCCTGCAGGTGCCTCGGCCCCCCGGCATTGCACGGAGCGTGACCCCTATCACATGAACCTGTCCTGTGTGACTGTGACAAGGGGATCAATCTGTGGGGTGTGTATGGAGGCAAGGGCTGGAAACTTTTAATCTCTTTGTGGGGAGACTTTTGAAGTGGCATTTCTGTCTCATTTTACCCTTTCTTCCTCTTTTAAGCCACTGTACGATGCTGCTTATCTTACAATGTACAACATCTGCTTCACATCGCTACCTATTCTGGCGTACAGCCTCCTGGAGCAGCACATCAGCATCGACACGCTGACCTCAGATCCACAGCTGTACATGTAAGTAGCACTGGACAGGGTGAGACTCCGCAGGGCTTGGTTAACCACGGTTTGGGTTTTGTTGGTGCAGGAGTGTACGCGGGTGTCCCTGCCCCGCGTTGGTGATGGGGTTGCTGTGAATTGCGGAAACGGCTGGTTCTGTCCCTGCTGGCGCTGCTGCTGCCGTGTTAGAGCTGAGCAATGTCCTTTTTACTGCCTATTTCTACTCATTTATGCTCTCTAACTGTATCTGGTCTAGCAAATTGCACTGCTGTGTGTCTATAATAAAAATAGACGGTAGGTGGAATTCTTCATCCGTGAGAAAAATCAAGCTGTGAGCGTGACCAGACCATTCATTCACCTTAGCTTTGAGCCAGCCAGCATGAGCCGAGCACATGATAGAGCATGTAATGGATGGAGGGGAGATCTAGCTTTCAGGAGGGAAAAAGATCCGTTTGTTTTCAGAAAGATGAATGTTTCTGAAGCCCAGCTCCGGCAGGTAGTTTCTCAGCTGGTCTAAATGGATATCCTCCCCCAGGCTTCCCCTCCACGGACCAGATTCCTGTATCAGAGCCTATTACCAGTGAACTCTATGCTTTGATCCATATCCTTAGGGTTTCCTGCCACATTGCCCACAGAAAGGACAGTTGAAGAGGAGACTATCTCTCTCTGCTTTGCTGGTGGCTTTCTCTCCTTCCTTGGTTTCAATGAGGAGAGACTCGAACCTGCCATGGAAATGAAGATGCTTCCCATCTTCCTCCCATGCACATGTGGGAGGAGTGCAGCCCTTCAGCAAGAACTAAGGAAGATGCTTTTTTGGGGAAACCCCTGTTCGTGCATCGCTGTTGTTAATTCCCATGCCTGGCATTAGGCTTAGAGCTGAACTCAACCCTGTGGTGAGACCAGGTTGGGGCTGCTCTGGCCAGCGCCCTGTGCGAGCCCTGTTGTGTCGTACGACAGAGGAGCTGTGTGTGGCATGGCTGTGCTCGAGCCAAGAGTGATGCCGTCGCTGCAGGACAGCAAAGGGAATTAGCAGGTACCTAAAGATGCTGTGTGAAAGTTGCTTTAGGTGTAGAAAGATCTGCAAATGCAACAAGGGCTGGAAGGCTAGGAAGGGGGCATGGGTGCTTTTGAAATAAGTGCTCGGATCCATGATTGATTAGATCTCTATGTTCCTCCGCTTCCATGGCAAAATGCCACTGCAGGTATTTTTAAATAAATTGGTAAATGAATATTGTGCGGCAGAGACCAGTAACAGCAGGTCCCGGTGCATTCTCCTGGTGGGCCGTCTGATCTCTGGGGTCTGTCCATTGAGGGAAAACAGATTAATTGTGCAGGCAGATAGCTTTAGATTGAATATTCATGCCTGTGCGTGCGCTGCTGAATGCAGAGGGACTGCTGCGCCTCTGCTGTGTGAAGTGCTGAGTTGCTGCAGTGCAGATCTCTAGTCTGAGGCGCTGCAAAAAGCCTGTTTGCGATGGGCACTGCAGGACATAAATCTGAACCCAAACCAGAGCTCGCGGGGAGGAAGCTGGTTGTATTTTCTCTCCTGGCGATAAAGCCCACTTACAGTCTGGTTTATCTGTGCTCCTTACTCGTACCCAAATTGCAGCACGGTAGAACATTGCCACCGCAACATCGTGCGTGGGATTTGGAAGGGTTTTGTTTTAGAAACTGCAGTTCTAGGAGCCCAGCACCACATTGGTTTGCAAGGTGCGTCTTGCTGAAAGTGGGTGTATTGCTTTAATAGTTAGGAAGAAAAGTGAGAAGAGAATGGAGGTTTTTGGTTTTGCCATGAACATGCTTTTACTCCCCATCAATCATCAAATTTTAAAGAAAGTAATCTGAAAAGATAATGACGCAGGAAACTTTTTTGCTTAAATCCCTCCTGCCCTGACAGCCGCCCTCGGCTCCCCGGGCTTTGCCCTCGCCCGCAGCCCATCCATTTGCTGCTGCTGCCTGCGTGCCAGATCCCGTCCTATATTCAGCCAAGAGCCTCCTGCTACAACCCCCGTGTTAAAACCACCCACCACACGATTCGGGAGGTTATTTTCAGCCTGTGCAGAAAAATAGTGCTTCCAGGAACAGGACTTGCAGAGCTGTGCTCGAAGGGGGAGTTTGTGCATTCAGCAAAAAGGGGAAGCATGCCACGGATTCGCTGCATCCCGTACGGCTCCTCTTCAGCATCGCACTGGTTGTAAAGTTCAGCAGCCAATGTCTGATACTGCGGGCGGTGCAGGGGCTGCGGGAGAGGCTCGGGACAGCGTTACAGCTGTTTGCTTTGGGCTGGCTTGGATTTCAGTCCAAGGCACCTAGAGGAGAAGGACAAAACAAATTAATATGCTGAACCTCTTGCGATTTCTCATGACCAGCAGCTGCATATGGCAAATGTTTATGTCCTGTACACTGGCAGATATTTATGTGTTTTCCCTCCTTGCCTACTCCAAAGCCCACTGACCCCCTGCCTGTGAGGGGCTTTGCGGCGCGTCTTAAAAGCGATGGTGATGTTCTTGTTCCTCCGTCTCTTGGCAGGAAGGTTTCGGATAATGCAATGCTGCAGTGGAGGCCGTTCCTGTACTGGACCTTTCTGGGCGCCTTTGAAGGACTCGTATTTTTCTTCGGGGTTTTTTTTCTTTTTCAAAATTCATTGTTGGAAGATAACGGAAAGGTAACACCACCAAAAAAAGAAAGAAAAAGACGAGTGTTTCTTTTGTGCGCTGCCTCTTTTATGCGCCTGGCAGGGAATATCTACACGCTTAATCTGTGCGGTGTGTCTTGAGTCCTGTCCGACCGTGTAGCCTTGCTTATGGTGTGATTTTGCAGCAAATGCTTGAAATGAAACATTTTCCAAATTGCCATGGAAACAGAGCAGAGCTGGTTATACTCACTAGGTAAAATAACTAGTCTTACACACGGCTTTATTGCAACCCGGTGAGCTTTGCACAGCGCTCTTCCACTCTTCTGCATGGTCCCAGGCGTTGGCCCAGTGCCAGAGCAGCGTCTGTCCTCCCACCAGCATGCTGCCTGAAATTTGGCACGTGTTGGGCTGGTGACGAGCGACTGAAGTACCCCACCTTGATAAGATGCCGCTTGTCAGCGCAGACACGGTACGGGGCCGCTTGTGCGCTGCGCCTGCTCCGGGGTGTGATTCCAGCCGCCCTCCTCCCTTCGCGGCGAGGGGGGGCTGTTTGGAAGCCAGCAGAAGTTAGCACCGCTGTCAGAACGCGCAGGCTGTTCTTCTCCCCCCCCTCTGCTTGCTCGTGCCTCTTGTGTCGGGACAAGCGCTTGCATTGCCGCGTGAGCGAGGTGTGGGGGCTGCTCCGGGTTAACTTGCACAGAAGGGGGGGGGGGGGGGGGGTGATGGAAAGCATCTTCACGCCGTCACTTGTGACCCTTGAAAACATCTTAGCTTTTTTTAGTGACTGACACTTGGAGAAAAGCTGATGAAATTTATGTATGTATATGCAGACATTGCATCAATGCCAGCACTTGTGGTCCCAGCTATAAGTAGCCAAGCCCCTATATTGTAGATTCAGTGCCGTTCTGTATTTATGGCCATTTTGGTTGTATTTGAATAAAACATGAAGCGCTGATATGTTTCGCAAATGCCTTGAGAGGTCAAGTCTATGTGGCACTAAAATGAGGTCTGTGCTTATGTCCTGTTTTGTAAACACTTATGCCTGTAAGAACTGCTACCAGCAATTGTTCATAATATCCATGTATGTTTGATTGACTCCTTTTTCGCTCCTATTGACTTTATTTTTTTTGCATTTTTTGAAAACTTTTACATTTCACTTTCTGTTTTAATGTATGCATTCAGATCTTGACAGCCTTTGGTAAGCATCCCTCCCATTCATTGCCATCATTTGGATTCATATGCAGTATCTGCTTCTCTTTGTCGTGCGTAGTCACTAGTATCCGCAAACCAAACCGGATGGAAAAATGCCCATTGGTGCCTTCTGCAAATGGGACTAAAACGAGCCAGTGCGCAGAGGTGTTGCGAGAAAGCAGAAACTGAGTCAATTACCAAGAAATCACGAAATACAGGTGGTCCCATGACTTGTATCCTCGATCGACATTGCTGTTAGTAGGAGGTTGTACCTGTCACTGTCCCAACTCTGGGTCACCCGTCCGTGTGGCACTGCATGGCACGGGGTAGCATAGCGGGCGGCGAGTCCGAGCATCAATCCCCCGTAGCAGTCGCTCCGTCGCATCCTTCCCCTCCGGTCCCTGCTTGCACCCCCTCCTCATCGTCTTCTCTGTGCCTGTCCAAGGAGATGGACCGAGATGCCTGTGGCAACGTGATGTGTTTTTCAGGTTTTTGGGAACTGGACCTTTGGGACGATCGTTTTCACCGTACTGGTGTTCACCGTCACTCTGAAGGTTAGGATCTTCCTTCCTTTTTTGATCCCTTTTTTGCAGTCATTTTCCAGTGCGTGTGTATGCACTGTAAAATCGTGCAGTAAATGTGTTGAAGTTTCTGTGAATGTTTCCCACCACACTTAAATTTTCTCTTCATCCGTAGAGGCAGGACTTGCTTATTGACCGCTGTCCTTTGTGTAGTCTGTGGTCTGTATTCCTGGGCTGTGCAGGTCTATAAGTGTTTATGTTTTGGTTACATTATTTTCCTATTTTTTGCCCTCTTCTGAGGACTCCAGTCGGTTAGTTGAGTTTTTCCCATGCTTTCACCCCTCGGTGTTCAGTTCCAGCAAGAGGAGAGGAGCAATAGAGAATTTGGGTTTCTGCACCTTGTTTCAGGCACGCTGAGCACCGGAGGGATCACAGAAGCACATCTGTCAGATAATAGCAAATCTGCTTTGTTTCACAGAGCTTTCCAGAACAAACAATTTGTATAAGACCTTACAAAAGGTCTTTTATGTTTGGTTCAGGACAGCAGGTGGTGGTGGGAGGCAATTATGGTCCCCGTAACCTTTAGACATTTCTCTCCTGTAGCATCAGAGGTTGCATCAAATCTATTCTATTTAGAAGTGTCAGTTACAATTAGGAACTCACTGTTTCCCTCTTGACATTGTGCCAGCCTGTAGATACTGAAAATATTTTCCCTGGTGCACATATGCAGAGAGGTAGCTGTTTGGAGAATTTCAACATTTAAGTGTGAAAGCAGTCAGAAATTTCGCATAAACAATTAAATACACTCTGTATTTAATGCCTGTTCTTTTTTTTTTTTTATTCACACAGCTAGCGTTAGATACGCGATTCTGGACATGGATGAACCACTTTGTGATTTGGGGATCCCTTGCCTTCTATGTGTTTTTCTCGTTCTTTTGGGGAGGAGTCATTTGGCAAGTATCTCTTCTTCTTTCCGTGGTGCTTGCTTAGGGGAATGCCCAGCACTGGTTTGGCGGGGGACGTGGCTGCGGGCTCCCCTCGGTTGGGCTATCCAGACATTTACGGATGGCAGGCTGTGTGCGCCCATGCTCCTTTCCATTCCAAAGGAATAGCTGGAAAGCAGTGGACACCCTGCTTGCCATCCAGGTGCTCGGCTTTGGCAAGAGGCCCTTCGCTTTTCTGCCCACGGGGGCATTTTGGGTGCTGAGGCCCTGGTCTGCATTGGCAGGTTCAGGGGTAAAGACTTCAGGATCTGTTTGTGCATCTGGGTGGGAGAGAAACCCCGTGATCTGGAAGGAAGGAACAGATGAGGCGGATGCAGAGCAAGAGGACCCTGTAATCTGGGGCAGCTTAAGGGGGAGAAATAAGCAGGAGAAAATGCAGATCCTGCTGCTGAAATCCTGGATCTGAGTAGGAGAAGAAATTCTCATTGATTTCAGTGTGACCAGGATTTTAGGTGTAACGTCTTGCAAAAGCAGACAAGCAGTAGTACATTACGAGTACTATTAGTTTTGTTTCCTGTGCTGGAGTAGACATTCATGCTGACATTGGCAGTACCTTGCATTTTACACCTTTGCTTTCCTGTGGGCTAGTGCCACGGATTATTTGCTAGATCCTTGACCCAGCAGCCTCATGATAAAGATATGGAACTAATTTAAATATTTTAACTGGGGGGGGTCACGGGCTTTCTTCAGCATTCCTGACCAACAGATTCAGATCTGCAATCTGGCCAGACCTCTGTGCTGAAATGTGAGTTTTCTACTGGTGTGTTTCACTTGCATAGCTCAATGTTTTTGAGTTACTGCTAAGCAACAACTTCTTCGGGATCCTTGTCATCGTTATTTATGAGGCATTTTTCACAAGGATCTGTTGGTTCCCTTCCATCATCAAGGGAGGGAGGAAGAGGCAAATAACCTGTTGGGACTGAGAGTCTCTGGATTTCCAGCATCAAAAGCGAACTAGAAGTTATAGCAAAGTCCAAAGTTGAAATAAAATGATCTGGGTTTTGATAAGGTGAATAATTTGTTTCAGTCACAGTAGCAAAATTCAAACCCGTGCCCACCCTGAAATGAGACAGATGTGGAAGATGCAAAATACATCGTGCAAGGTGACGGGACAGTTCCTCCCGAGCTAGCACAGCTGAAGGCAGGAGATACATTGGGAGAAGGGTGGACAGTGTGTTTCTGTGCAGGCTGTATCCACCTCCGTCTGAAAGGGAGGGGTTACTGCTGACGGTTTGATCTGAATCTGCCTTTGATTCTGACCTTATTGGGAAATCCATGTTAACCAGAATTTATTTGTATCCTCTCTTTTTCAGGCCTTTCTTGAAGCAGCAAAGAATGTATTTTGTATTTGCCCATATGCTGACTTCTGTTTCCACGTGGCTGGCAATAATTCTGCTGATCTTTATCAGCCTTTTCCCAGAAATTCTTCTAATAGTTTTAAAAAATATACAAGAAAAAAGTCATCAGGTAAGGAACAAGATGATATATTGCAGAGTATTTTTAGGAAGACCCCTCTTACTCTTAAGCACTAGATGAATCTGTAACAGAACCGTCTACCACTCGTGTCTTGAGGGAGACTTCCTAGAGTCTCGTCTTGCTCTTTCACGTGCCAGAAATGTCAAGAAGCTCATCTAAAAATGGTCTAGGTCTGTAGCAAGGAGAGACTCAACCCATGCCTTTCCTTAGTTGCCTTCACTGGATGGAAACCTGCTGTCTCTTATAAAAGTACCATAGCCCTTTTCCAACCTGCACTGATCATCAAACCCACCATATTGTGTCCTGAAAAAAAGCTCTTTATGTCAGAGAGCACGCCCGCGATGTTCCCCTTGCGTATGCCCTCAGGTGCCGGTGCAGGGGGAGCAGAGTCAGGTCTTGTCACATTTGCCCACCCCACTTAACCGAGGGCTTGTACGATGGTGTTGGCCTACGGTGTCCAGCTCTCCTCGAAAGTGGTTGGGTTTCTTAACACCTTTCCTCCGCTGCTGAGGAGGAAGGCTCGTTTTAGAAGTGTAAATCATCTCCTAAACATTTTCTTCGTCATTCCTGCAAATGGTGAATGCCAGCACCTCCAGGCCTATGACTTGCCCTGTGTTGAGACCCTCCTGCCCCTTGCTCTCTGCTTTCCCAAGGATGCCAAACATATCTGCAGCACCGTCCTCCCGGGCAGCCCCTGCTCACCCCAGCCGTGCCTCCGCCGCTCCCCTGCCTGCCCTCCCTCCTGCAGCCCCTCTTTCCCCCTGCGCCATCCCCAGGTCCTGCCTCGGGTCAGCCCGCGGCGTATTGCCGGCCGGCCCTGGCCTCTCGCCATCGGGTTTGCATGTCCTTAGGCAGCAGCAGAGCACAGGGACAGGGGCCAGCGCTGCTGGCATGGGGTCACCCCCCACCAACACCCAGGAGATGCTGGCAGCGTGGCTTGGGCCAGGGTGCCTCCTGGGCTGGGGCTGGAGCCAGCCATGGCTTTCTCAGCAGCACAGCTGCGGGATTTGGCCAGCACAGAGGTAGTGGCATGCAGAGGTGGCTTCTGTCCTGCCAGCTGTGCCCCAAACCAGCACTGTGATACTGGGCAGGCTGGTGCCCAGCTTGTCTGACCATGTCCTAGGGCTGACCTTCCAGATACAGAGGTTCAAAACAGGCTTCTGTCCTTGAAGCTCTTATCTCGTGAGGTTTCAGTGCACTTTTCTCAGCTGGGATAACTTGTTATCTTTAGTCCTTATTTAAAAATTGTGATTATCTTGATTTAAAAAAAAAAAAAAAAAAAAGAATCCAATGAAGTAGTAAAGATTTTCCTCTCTCATACCATTGAAAGTACAAGTGTGGCACAGTATCAGTGAAGTAAAACGTGGATACAAGACAAAAAACCCCTGAACCATTAAAGTTGAAAGTAAGAGATGGTTAAAGAAGTGTGGTTGAATTCTTTGAGGCTCTGTGTAATTTCTTCCACTTGGGCACTATTTAATGGTTTCTAGCTTGATACCCCTATTAGAACAGGCCGGGAGGGAGTTCCTCTCAGCTGGGGACATAGGACAGTTTGAGGACAATGACCTGGCAGGGTCCCCTGGGGGTTTCCGAGCCCCAGCTCAACTCACCTGAGAGGTGACCCATTTTTGCCTTAAGCTGTTGGCCAAAATATCCATTCCCACTCAATACTTGCTTTCAAGAGTGCTTTATGTGCTTTGATAAAAGGCTCTTGTGAAATCGTTTAGCAAAGTGTCAGCTAGAGAAGTCGCTTTATATGTGCATAGCAAACTAAGCACAGGCTGAGCCGTATTTAAATGTACATTTTGAGTAAGAGCTTTATAGAATGCCTGGAGCAGATACCAGCTCCGGGTGACTGTGTCAGCGCTCAGACGCTGAAGTCAGTCATCTGATTTTTAAAGGTATCTAAGACCAGGTAGATGATTTTAAATCGAGACCATTTTTTGAGGGTCCTGATCTTAATGTTAGAAAAAGGAAAAAAAGCATCAGTTTCCCTAGGGGAGCCTTAAATGAAAAAAAAGAGCAGGGCGGTTGTTTCAGTGCCTGAACCCACGACTTGGCAGCTGAGGGTCCCTCTGGAAGGGCAGGATGGACGGAGGCCAGGTCGGTGGGCGTTTGCCCTTGACCTCAACGGGACTGGGTTCACCCGAGTTTCCTGTAGCACAGTGCATTGGCTCTGCTCAGTCTTTATTAAATTTTCTGCGTGGAAATGTGATGTGGTTTATTTTTCTGTTTGGTTTTGGTTTGGTTTTTTTCTTTTTTTTACCTGCAAGGTGCATTTGTGTTTTCCTTGGTTTCTGCCTTTCTCTCTCTTGTACTGCAATTTTCTGTCTTTTGTGCTGTTGTGAACTAGGTAACGAAGCGCCTTCCTTCCTCAGGAACATCCACTATCTTCATGCTTTCTCAAACTTCCAGCAATCACAGCTTTTCTTGGAGTGAATAAGGTGATTTCCTTTCTGAGTCACTATGTGTTGCTTGCTCTACTGCTTCTTTCCTCCTCCTAACACCTAACTCCTGTAAAACCCCTGGTTAGATTTGCTCACCCAGCAAAACCCTGCTTCCCCCCCCTTTGCTTTAATTTAAATCTTTTGCTTAAATATTTCGTCTGTCTCTTCCCCTTGGTTCTCCTGCTGCACCTCAGGTGGGCGAGCTGGTCGTGCTTGGGATGTCCGAGCAGGGTGGAGGTGGCCAGTGCTGGTTCCACTCTCCATCCATCCCCCCTGTCGTTTGGTGCGTTAGTGGACTAGGCACAAACTTCTCTGAAGTGGGGGACAAGGTGGACTCGATTTTGACCATCCTCTGGAAGACCTGGCAAACAGCTCAGGCTTGTTTGATCTAGGAGTGCCTGTCTTGCCTGGTCCGTCCCACTTGTTAGTGCCACCAGTTTTCTTTGTACAAGCGAATAAGCCACTGCCCTGAACCTCACGATGAGGGGTAGTCTTGGACTTGCTGACTGCAGAGATGGTGGGGCTACCTCAGAGCAAGGTGCCTTGAATAGATGTCCCTAGCCTTGGGTTCCACTGCAGATCTCCTGTATAACTTGCGATTTTAAAAATACCAGTTATGAGGAGCACGAGGATGGTTTCCTTCTCCCTCGAAAGCACCTGTAGCATAAACCTCCAAGCCTGAAGTTAACCATTTCGGGAAGCAGGGCTGGTTTCTGAATACCCCTTGTGCCTCTTGCGCTGCACAACCCAGCCAGTGTTCATCACCGTGGTGCTGAGGGAGCGTGCGTTGCTGCGTCCCTTAGGATGGGACTTTGCTGGGAAAAGGTGTGTGCGTGTCTTGCCTCGAGCGGCCGTTAGGCAGGGGCGAGCGTCGCGTGTGCTCTAAGTCTGTTTGCCTCGCTGTTGCAGAGCAGCAGGAAGGCACCTGATTCATTGTCGGCCAGACCTTCTATCAGACCACTTCTTTTAAGGACATTCTCAGATGAGTCTAATGTGTTTTAACAGGTACCCTGTCCGAAGGAGTTGGGATGGTTTTAAAAGGTGTTGATTAACCAAATGTAACCCTCCCCTCCCCCCGAATCAATTAAACTGTGGTTCTTGTAATCCTCTTGACTATCGGTGTGGGGCACCTCTCCTTGTGGAATGGAGATGCAATGCTTGGGATGCATTTTAATGTGGGGACGTTGTCCTAGGCGACCTCTTCAGAATCCTGTATATGCACAGATCCTCTCAAACTGAAGTAGAGGAAGTTCCGCCTGAACATGAGGAAGAACTTCACTCTGAGGGTGACGGAACCCTGGAACAGGCTGCCCAGGGAGGCTGTGGAGTCTCCTTCTCTGGAGATATTCAAGACCCGCCTGGACGTGGTCCTGTGCGGCCTGCTCTGGGTGACGCTGCTTTGGCAGGGGGGTTGGACTGGGTGACCCACAGAGGTTCCTTCCAACCCCCACCATTCTGTGAAGTATTTCACAGTATATAAACCAGTCTTTCGATATAACTGACATTGTAGTCTAGTATAAACACAACTTTGAGAATACAGTCGGTGAGTTGTGCCAACAGTGATTATAAAAGCTCACGCTGATGTATTTACAATTAAGTATTCAAACCTCAGCTATTAAAATGATTCCAGTATTGCATCTGAATTGTACCAAAATCCCTTTTCCTGGGGTGCATGCTGTTCTGTCGGATAAATAAGTACATTTTAATTCATCTGCATAGATTGAAGCTAAATGTGTGTACTTGTCTATGTCCGTCAGTACGGCAGGTCTGTCTCCATGTCTGTCTGTGTGTGTACGCACAGGGAGCATCCTAGGACAAGTTTACTTGATTTTAAACATCGTAGTAAGCCTGTAGCAGAATGAAAAAGTAAAAGTGCCAAATTAAATTCACAATTTTGCTTTTAGGTGAGATGTGGTGTGGTGCCTGCTGCAAACGTAAAACTCCAAGTTTGCTGCGCACCTCTCCTGCCTTTGCCCCCGCGCCCGCTTCTGCAGAGATCGGTTTAATGGGAAGGGCAGGTCCAGCGGCCGGGCTTGCCAGAGCTCCAGAGGCGGCGGGCGTAAATGCGGGGTTCTGCCTGCGCGGGGGG